CCCCAAAACCCCAAAACCCCAAAACCCCAAAACCCCGTTTTTCTTATGAAATATTGAATATTAAGAATTCATTACATCGATCGTTGAGTATCTTCGAAGAGATTTCTTCTTTCGAATAATTTCTTTATTAAAGACAAATACTTTTATTTCTATCTTTTAGAATCCTCACACAAGAATAGAGTAATAATGATAACTTTAACAATAGAATTCATCAATACACCTCTTAATATCAAGTTTTCATACACAACAAAACCCAAAAATGGCTAAAAATCTATCTCAAAAGCTTTTGCACCATTTTACCACCAAAATATTCCTGAAAACAAAAATCCTTCCTCAAATTCCACCACTACAGAAGCCCTAATCTCATCAAACCCATAAACCCACCATCTAAACCCCTATCAACCCCCACTTCCCTCTCCAACCCCTTGCCACCCCAACCCCCACCTCCCTCACCTCAGTTTACATTCCCCTAACCCCCATCAGCCCTTAATTCTCTCCTTGCCCATCCCCTCCAATTCCACTCCTGACTTACCCCAATTCCCACAGGCAGACCCTCCACAGTACAAAATATCTATTTTTTGTGCTAAAGTTTGACTCAGTTTGGGGTAAATTTTAGGGAAGGACTGAGTTTGGTAGGAAGATTTATTGGAGGTTTGGGGTTTGGGGGTATGGGGAGTTTGGAGGGAAGAGAGGAGGTTTTGGGGTGGGATAGGCTGGGAGTGGGGTTAAGACTTGTGGTAGGGCTTAAGAAATGGAGAGGGAGTATTGAGTTTTAGATTGGGGAAATTTGTGGAGTTGGGAAGTTTTTGGAGGTTGGAGAATTTTTTTATTTAAAATTATGTTTAAACACGGTATTAATAACTTTTAAATTTTTATAGATTCTTGGAAATTTTGGTAGAGATTAGAATGAAAGGTGGCTCTGAAATTTACCCAAAATTATGTAGCAAAAAGGACTAAAGCGAGTCTTTAGCTGAGCATCATAAATCAGAAGTTATACATTTTTCTTTAGATTTAAAATATTGAAAATTTGTTTGATAGCAAAGGGTTATATTGTTAAATTTTATTAATTTTAGCGATTAAAATTTTCTCCAACCATTAATAATCAGAATGGATAATAAGAAATGTCCAAAAAATACTCTCAAAGTCACATTATTATATAAATATCATCAAAAAGACACCTCTCCATTTTATTTGTGGCTAAGAATCTTCTTTTCTCCAATCCTTGATAACTTTCTTAAACAAAACGAGTCAAACAAATCATGCATTTTCCACCTCAGGGAGCTAATACCACCTCTCTCCACATCAAGCCTTATTCCCTTTGTTCCTTCATATTTAAAGAGCTTACTTTCAAATCTAGAGCTTCCAAAGTAACCAAGTTCTAAAAATCTCCAGGCACTTAAACTCTCTTATTAAATTTAATTAAGTAGCTGTGTTAAATAATTCTTAAGCGAATTACCAAATTTTTCAAATAAAACTGTGAACATCCAAAACAGTTAAAAGGGGTGATAAGTGCATTTGATACTGAGTTACTTATGCAGAGTACTAGTTAAAGACTTCGCTTAGAGGAGAGATCGTTAAAAGATACTTTAGAAAATTACACAGTAAGGTTTCTAATAAAAATTCACCTACATCTCGTCAATCCATAGCTTTATTTTAGACTGGATAACTAAAATAACTTATAAGGCACCCAAACAAGCTTATAGACACAGGAACTCGCAGAATTTTTATACCAGAAAGTTGATTATTAATCGTTCCCAAGAAACTCTGCCGCATTTTCGAGTTGTTCAGTGCATATTACTACATTTCAAGCATTCAGGACCTGCTTATTTGTCCATTCTGGATGTGTTTGACACAGCAATTTGAGAATATCTCAACAAATCATCCTGTTATTAACCAAGTAGTTTCTCACACAAATTTTGTAATTTTCTTTATCTTCAGGCTTTAGATTGCAATTTGAATGCTTAATGCTTTTATTAAAGTGTTGTCCGACGTTGTTATCGAGTGAATTCATAAACCCTTTCAAGGAAGTTATATTGCCATTTTTAGCCAGTTTTATCACCTTGTTAAGAAGATTTTTATGAACTTTGTAGAACTCAGAGTGTCCTCTCAGTTTGCATACTCTTCTTTGTGGAGGATTAAGATTACTTGTATCTTCTGTTGGAGGATCTGAGAAGGTCTCAGAATAAGGAGGCAGATTGTCTGGCCTTTTTCAGAAGGTACAAAGATCAGGAGCAGAGGCTTGATGGGTAGTTTTGAGGGAAGGCAGAGAAGGAATTTTCGCTCCTTCTTGTTTTGGTTCTTCCGGAATTTTAGCCTCTTCGTGCTTTGATTCTTCCTGAATTTTGGTTAAATGTGTTGGGGGAGGCGAATCTTTTGTAGTCATGCTTAGGTTAGAAGTTTGTTTTAGAATCTTGGAGATAGTTTTAATTGAACTTGGAGGTGAAGCCTTTAAAAATGTTCCCAATTTGGATATAGAGAATTGTGCAATTGAAGGAGTTGAACATTTGCTTGCTTTGTGTTGCAACTGTTCCAAGAAATTAGTATCAAATAAGTGTCTGTTTTCAGAGAACACAACAATTCTCATACCCTGTGCTCAAAATTGCCCTAACAAAAAGAGCAAATATTGTACTCCAACTCACTCCTCAACCCTCTTTCCAAGCTCACCTCCCCCTTTTATCTCCTTCTCACCCAAATCTCCACTCCCACTCTTCTCTCTTCCCTTCACTTGAAAATACAAAACACCATACTTACACCCCAAACCTCTCATCCCCTGCACCAATTTCCCTTCTGTCCCCAATCCTTGGTCTACATCCATACTAGCATCGACCACCATCACATCGTACTTTCTTCCAAAATTTTTCATTATTTATAGATTCAGTGTTAAGTTGGCAGGTTGGGGTTTTGGGGTTTTGGGGTTTTGGGGTTTTGGGGTTTTGGGGTTTTGGGG